GATAGGGAAATCAGGACAGCAGTGGAAGGGGGGCACTGAAATGAGCTTGGAAGCTGGTAAGATTTTGACCAGGAGAGATGACTTAAGAAGACTTATCTAATAGTAAGAAATGTGTAGAAGGAGGAACAAGTAGGGTCTGTATTTGGAGAAGCGTGATTCATACAGGGATCTGGGAGAATTAGGAAGCCATGGGGGGAACGGCTGCTGAGGCAAATGGGAAGACTTGAATTCTGGTTTAAAATTTTTTTACTTCGTTCAGTAGGCAAAGGAGAAAATGATAAAGCCAGGAAGTAACTAGTGCTATGTTTTTGGAAGATGATTCTGAAAGTGGTATTGAGAAGGAGTAAGGTGGGAAGAACCAGAACCTGCCAGTAGCTGAGCAGGGATTCAAAGCCACCTCTGAGTGCCTTCAAGAGAGCTTTGTGAGCATTTGAAGAAAATAGGAGATATTTCTTTTCTTTTCTTTCCTTTTTTTTTTTTTTTTTTTTGGCTAGAGTTGGGGTGGGAATCGGTGAATGAGATGGAGAAGAACATATTTTTAATGATGACATTTGAGATACAACTAGAATTTGAAAGATGGTCCAGAGAGTGGACTTAAACCAGGAGTGTTGTGATTAAAGAAGGAAACAAAGGGATAAAAGTGGCAGGTTAGGCAAATCTTGGTGACTGACAAAATGTAGGAGCTTATCTTCTGGATGCAGTGAGGCAAAGAGAATGTTGGAGATATGAACCTGGATGTCTGGATGAGACAGAGAATGCTGGAAATTACAGGCACAGGTATCTGGTAGTCTAAGCATCTCTACCTCATTTGTTCTCTGCAGATAGCAAAGGGGTGATTAAAGGAGTAAATGAGGGGTTTGGTTATAAAAGTAAGGGTAAGCAGTAGAGAAGCAACAGTGGATGGTGAGCACCCCAACAATAGCAGCAGCGCAAAGCTGTCATTACTCTCAGGCCTAAAGGAGAAGGGGAGGGAGCCATTCGGGCACACAGTTGTATCTGCACCGGGCAGAGAGGGGCCATCCACAGGAGCTGTGGTCTTGTAGAGAGGAAGCTATGGAGCCACAGTCCAACAGGAAGGGAATGGTCAAGGGAGTAACTATCCTAAGCCTTCTCTCTTCGGGCCTCCTGCCATGATCCCTTGCTGATGGGCCCCTTTGGCCATCCCAACAGAAGTCACAGGCAAGGGAGCCTGCTTGATGCTACCTGCAGAGACCAACCTCCCCAGCACGGAGCATGACAGAGAGTGCATCTGGAGGGGTGAATAGAGAGGACCCAGCATAGGCAACTCCTCAGTAAAAATTTGAGAATGTGTTCATTCGTAAATGATATAAACTTAATAACATAACAACGTATACAGTAAAAACCAAATCAGGAATAGAAATTAGCATTGGATTTTAAAAGTTTTACTTACAAATAATAGAAATAAATCTTTTTCTCTTCTAATGTAATTGGATATGTTGATCTGATCCCACTGTAACCGTTTTCACGTGTGTGTGTTGCTGAGGAAGAAATCATGCTGTGAGTGGAATGAGGAGAGGCTCTGCCATCTTCACATTTTTGCTGGTGCTTGGGTGATCTTCATCTTCTCAGGAATCCATACTGGGAAGATTTAGTTTATTTAGGACAAGACACTATAAATAGTATTGCTCTACTACTTTACAGGCATATGTAAGTTGTAATATTCTGGAAGAAACCAATAAATGAGGCTCCGGTTAGCCCTTCTTCCATGTGGAATTCCCTTCTTTCTTGTCTTTTTTCACTTACCACAGTAGAGACATCTGATCTTGACTTGGCAAGGGGGGCAGGGTCAATCTGTAAAGCTTAATTTCTGTTCTAGTTTTACAGATAAAATAAACCTGAATAAAAGTCCTTATTGTTTCTTCTCACACCTCGAAGTATTGTCTTGTGCTCTCTGCTCCAGAGTGCACGTACCTCCCTACTTCAGAAACTGTTGTGGTAGTCCATTGAAAGTATGAATCTGGAATTTAGGAGAGGGGGCAGTGTTGGGAACACCAGCTTTGAAATGATCTGCATGAGAATAATATTTCATAGCTCTAGGAATGGATGAAATTACTATGAGGATGAAATTACTATGAAATTACTATGAAAGGAAAGAATGGAGAGCTGAGGCCAGGCAGCTCAAAAGATTCCTACATGTATAGATATAAAAAAGGAGAAAGAGGTAGTACAGGAGTCAGAGAAAGAGTGAAGCCGAAAAAGAAACGTGCCCAAGAAATCAAGAAGGAGGAATGATCAGAGGTGTCAGCTGCTGAGTTGGGAGTGAATGAGGACAGAAGATGGACCAGGGTGTAGTTGATGAGGCCAAGGTTAAACTTGAAGTTCTTGATTGAGTCTTGCTTGAGTCAAAGCAATGAGTGTGGGCTAATTTTTTAAAGGAGGATTAGTGGCCAGTAGAATATTTTGTTATTGTTTCTGTTTGCTTACTTTAAAATAAGAAGTGTAGGGAGAAGGGAAAAAGTCAGGAGAGAGGTAGAGATTTGGGATTAAAAAAGAAGGGGTCATTAGGAATGGATTCCTGAGGGAAGTAGTGGAGGTGGGATTGAACGTCTAGGTAGAAGAGGTAGCCATAGCAAAGATGACACTTCCTTTCAAGGTTATTAGAAAGAGGGTATGGTGTTTTTGGATGAAGGAAGTATATTCCTTTTATGATCAACACTGAGGAGATATTTAGTATTATACTGCAAAGAAAACTGGCCACAAATCAATAAAGAGGTTTTTTTTCTTTAAATCAAAGAATATGTTCTCTACTGAAAGCAAAACCAAAAGAAATAAGAGTTAAGATGTCAGTCAAGATATCATCAAAGGAAATTATCAATCCTATTACTTTTTTGAGTTTTTCTTAAAAAGGATAAATTTGAATCTTGTTGAAATGGATTGATTATGGGCATGCCCTCATGTTTTTCCTGACAGGCTGGGCCAGGTGACTTTGAAAATGCCGTATTTCAGGCTCAAAAGATAGCATGTATGTGAAGGCATGCATTCTCTCAAGGAATATGGCCAGGCCAGACAAAATCAGAGGGGTGCTATTTTTTCATGAAAGTAAGTGGATACCAGGTAACTGGGGGTTTAATTCCAGCACCATCATTAATTCTATTTTTTAGACGAGAATCTTAATTCCTGTAAGATTTCACTTCACTTCACTTCACGTCTCCCTCCCTCCCTTCCTTCCCTCCTTCCTTCCAAAATTAAGGGGGTTGTCATGATACCTAAGATTCTTTTGGTCTTAAAATTAAATGATTATAAAAATGTATATTATATTACCTATTTTGCTTATGATAAAGTCACAAAATGTGTCCATTATTTATGAATGTCTCCCTTGCTTGAGTTTCATAAAAACATTTTGTCTACTACTTAGCTATTGCAACATATGACAACTTTTCAAAGTATAATAAAACTCAGTTGATGTTACATGCATAGATTCTAAGCTTAGTAAAGACTAAATCAGATGGCCCTCATATTAAATCTTTCTCTGCTTGTAAATTTTATTCACTTGGAAGCTGCAATAAGTCAGGCTACTGTTAGGGATTTAGTAAATTGTTACTCACTAACCTTCCACTTCCTCTTGGGAGTTGAAAGCATTAATGCAGTTAAAATGTGTGACTCAGTCTAGACCTTCATGGATATCTACTTTTATGGTTTTGAGGGTCAATTTAACCCTCCAAATAACTTACTTTAAACTGCCACTTTAGGCAGAAAATATGAGTAACTCAATTTTGTTTGGTTGAATTAATTATCATATTTCATTCATCCATTTGGGCAGACTTCCCTGCTAGACTCTGAGTTCCATGGAGATAGAAATATGTCTGTTTTTGCTCCTTAATGCCTCACACCCTTTATACTTGCCACAGTGCTTACACATAGTGTCTGCTCAGTAGATAATTATTAAATGAATGTATGATTTTACTCCTATTGAGTTGTTAGGCATTAAAAATATGTGATTCAATATTCTTTTCTATTGGAAAATATGTAATCATAAACCACTTTATATTGTCAGTGATTGTAGAAAACTACAATCTGTTCAACAGCATTTAACTATGAAAAATGTCTTACCCAATATTTTTATGTCCACTTTGGCTTCTGCCTTGAATTCCCTTCAGAATATTCTGACAGACAAAACATAGAATAGCCAGGTGAAATGGGACAACGCTTACCGAGAGGAGAAGAGCTGCTGGATATCAAGAAGTGTTGATTTGTCTAATGGATGCCTTTCTTCAGTCACTTCTTCAGAAGGGCCCCAATCCCCTGTTATCCTGATCACAACTTCTTTACCAATTTTCTTCCCTCTTCTTCAGGTACAGGTTTTTCTTTTCTCCATCTCTCCAAAAGTTTCTTGTTTCCCCTACTTCATTGAGTATGTTAAGTATTTCTTGGACATTTTTGTTTCCTACCCAAAGATAAAGGGCAGGAACCACCATTTCAGGGTTATTGCCTACAACCTCTGTTGAATTGGTGGCTCTGAAACATGACCCATTTCTCATTCTTGCCAGTGGTGCTGGAACCCTTTAGAGGGAGGACCAGACCTCTACTCTCTTTGGGCCGCCCAAATCCAAGCTGCTAACTTCATTGATGTGTTCAGTTGTCCTTTAGCTCACTACTAGGTGATTCTCCGTTCTGATTCTTCTTGCTGTTGTTCTGGTACCACTTGCCTTGAAGATGCAGTTACTTGGTGGGAAAGAGGTGTTCATGAATGTGATCTGGGACTTAAAGAATGTGTGTACATTTATTTAACAATTGTTTATTTGTCACCCATGGGGTGCCAAGCATGTTATATGACTGAAATAATTATGAAGTAGGTGACTCTAGAAGTAGTCTAGCTAGAGTGGATGGGGGTGGTAGCAGACATTATCCTTCCATATTCTGTCTCTTGTGGCCAAGGCCATGGTTCCCCACTATTGCCAGTATCCCTCTGTATGTTGTCCTTCCAATGGGCTGGTTTAGGGACTTCTAACTACCACTTTTCTATGTTTATTTTGTGACAGATGATTCAAGAGAGCCGGTTTCTCATAGAAATGGCAGATACAGTCCAGGAAAAGATTGTGCAGTGTCAGAAAGCAGGTAACCCCCTACTTCTGCCCCATTTTGTTTAGAAACTTAATGATAATTTGTAGTAGTTTTTAAAGTTTCTGTTTCTGCCCTTAAAATTGAAATATTTTGTGCCATACTTTAACTATTCTTTTGAGTTAAACTGAAGTCTTTGTTTAGTACAGAAGAAATTGAGGTGATAGTAGGTTGGTGTATGTACACAGAGGGGAGTGTCTAAAGATATCTAGAGAGGGGATCTGTTCTGAATCTACTTGAAAGTCTGCCAAAACCCTTTACTACATGTTGTCCCTTAAGAACCACCTCATTTTTATAATTTGAGCCATAATCCTATTAATCTCCTAGGCTTTTGCCTCACTTAGTAGTCATTATTTTAGATTTGTTCTTTCTTTAAGGATGGGACAGGTCACATATCTGTGAGGGTACCCCTCCGTTTATCTGTATTCACTTTCATCTACATGCTACACTCTTATCTTTCTTAGACTTACGTTTTCCTTGATGTCCATGCACAATGGTTATGATGACGAAGACGACAGTAACGACAATTGCTTGATATATTTGCATATGAGATACTGTGCATACACACACTGTTACTTCGTCCTTTTAACAATTCTGCAAGGTAATCGCCATTGTATCCAGCTTATAGATGAGGCATCTGAGATTCTGAGAGATTGAGTGAATCACTCAAGATTCCATATTAGCACAGGGTAGAGCTGACCTCTGAACCCAGACTCGACTTTAAAAAATGGTGCTTTTCCCTGACTGGTCCACAGACTTAAGTGTTTCTGTTGACAGAAAGCGCAAAAATAATACCAGTACCTATAGGATGGTTTTATATGCCAGACACTACTTTGAGAGCTTCGTATGTATTGACTTATTTAATCTTCACCCACAATCCCTTGAGGTAAGCTCTCTTGTTATCACCATTTCACTAGTGAGGAAACTGGATTGCAGAGCATTTCAAGGCCTTACTCACACTTATGTGGCTAGTAAGTAGTAGAACCAGAGTGTGAGTCCAGCCCCACAATCATGCTCTTAGCATACACTATATTTGTGGTGTTAACGCCGGAAAGATTAATGTGGTTTTTAGCTGCATTAGAAAAGTAGAGTAATTAGAACAAGGAGGTGGCGGTAAATCTCTACCCTGTGTGGGCTGCTTCAAGTGCACTTTGAGTATGATATTACTGGATGCAGGTCCCTACAAGCTCAACTCCAGGAAGCTGTGCAATGTGGAGGCTCTGCCCGGATGTCATCTTTAAAGAAGAGACATTGTTAGTAAAGCTGAAACAGGCTAAAATGTTTAATCTGGAGGAGAAAAGACTCTAGTGGATTTTATCGAGTATCTTTCTTCAAAGATTTAAAGGGTTGCACAATGGAAAAGAGATTAGACTTAGCTGGTCTGGGTCTAGCTAACACCAAGGAGTAAAGATTTCAGGGAAACAGACTTTGGCTTGCAATCAGTCATAGCTTTCCAAAGATGGCGTAAGCTGTCCGGAAGAAAGTGTGATTCTCAACTCTGAGGATGGTGATATTTTTTTTAGTAGTCAAGCTTGAGAAATGGTTGAGCTAAAAATAACTTTAAGGCCATTCCCAAATCTGCAGTATTTAGTTGTTTCCAGAAATGCTATTTATAAAACATCTTTTTATTTTTACTCAACATTTATTTATTAACATCATTATCCATATGGACTCCAGGGTCTACTGTCAAACCATATGGGTGGCTTATAAGGAAAAGTAAAATAAGTGCATCTGTCACATATGGTTAGCCATCACACATTGTCATACATTATACCATTTCACATAAAAACCAGGTAGAAGACAAACAAGACACATTTAATCTACTAGAAGAATTTGGTTCTTAACCTCCTTCTTATGTCTTTATCTGGTGGTTCCTGGCTGTTCAAAATGTAATTTGGTCTAATGCATTGGTTATTGTTAGTTTGCCCCTAAGGATAGCCACTGGAGGAGATGAACAGAATGGGAATGAACATTTAATTCAGGGTTTTCAAAACTATGAGAGGAAAGGAATGGGAAATTTTTCGTTATAAGATGCCCATTTTTCTGAAATTTATAGTAAGAATTCTTATATGTTCTTTTTTTCAAAGGGATGGAATTCCATGAGGAACTTCATAATCTAGGGTCAAAAGAAGGCTTGAAAGGAAGAAAACTCAACAAGGCAACTGAGAGCTTTGCTTGGAACATTACAGTATTGAAGGTAAATGAAATTCTCAGGTGCCTCTTTGCCTTTATTTTTTTCCTGCTCATCTCTTGAATGTGTAGAAAAGCATCAGTGGTTAAATACAGTGATTGGAATTTTCAAGTAATGTGTGGCCTAATCACCAGGTTCATGCTCTAAGGGATGGGGAGATTGATACACTTTTTGCCGTAATAGAGCAAATGAGGGTTGTGGTGGAAACAGAGGACAGCGCGACCTAATTCCACCAGCCCGTGTTTTTACTCAAATGAACGCTTCTCCTCAAGTCAATGATAGCTGTTCTTGTTTGTGGAAAGAATAACGCCAAATGTTGTGGGACAAGGATCCAGCACGAGTGATTTGGAAGAGCTTTAAACTACACAATATCTGGAGCCATTTAGGATTATTTTATTTTAAGAAGAGTCTCTATAAATACATTTATTTTTACAAATAGCTTTGGAAGTCAGTTTCTGGAGATTATGATTTGCTCTTCTGAAAATTGATTTTAGGATTTTGAAATAAAGATGCCACTTTTCATATTTTCTTATGTGAAAAGAGAGATAATTTAGGCAGTTGGAATAATTTATTCCTGACAGCGTGATGGGAAGAAAACAGCCACGAACAAAATTACTCATTGCTGAAGTTTAAAGACCTACTATGTCCCACATACTGTTTTACAGGCTTTATATAAATTAACATTTTAATACACACAACCCAATACTATTGTTATTATTTTTTAAAGATTTTATTTGTTTGAGAGGGAGAGAGAGAGCATACACACATGAGTTGGGAGGGAGGGGCAAAGGGAGAGGGAGAAGCAGACTCCTTCTTAGAGATCCCCTGCCCCTGCCAATGCCAGCTCAATCCCAGGATCCTGGGATCATCACCTGAGTGGAAGGCAGGTGCTTAAACAACTGAGCCACCCAGGCGCCCCCCAATACTATTATTAGTCTCATTTTACAGGTGAGAAAATGGAGGCATTAAAAACTTAGGTATATTACCCAAGACCATGGTGCTAGTGAATGATGGTGGTGGAGTTTGAACCCAGGCAGTCTAGTGCCAAAGAGCTATGCTGAACTTGCTCTGCTGAGAAATATGTTTAAATGAAAGTGCTAGATAAACTGAAAGATATATCACAAATGTTTATTAAAAATTCAGTTCACAAGTATTTGTTAACCTCCCACTATGTACTGGGCTCTGTGCTAAGCATTGAGGATCCACAGAGAACAGAAGAGGTACCATCCCTGACCTCATGAGTTGAAGTCTGAGGCCAGGGAGTAGGGTGGTGGAAAATAGGCATCATCTCTTTTAATGAGTAGAGAGGAGCGTTAATATAAGGAAGAGCTTATTTTCTAATATTAGAGTACGACTCGACAGCGTGCATGCTGATACAAACACTTTCTGGTCAGCAAATACTTATGTGGGCTTGTTAATGTGCCGGTCACTGAGAAAGGTGCTATGGATAGAAATATCCAGAGTAACACTGGAACCTCGAGGACTAGTCTACCAAGGGACACAGACATATAACTAAAAATAGCCTTCAGTTACTCAGTAAGTAATATGTGACAAGCACTCATGGCTAAGCAGTTTATATACATTTCCCCTTTTCTCTTTGCAAGGATGGGCTGACCTTGCAGCGACTCACTCTGACCCTGGTGTGACTCTCCCCATCTCACAGATGAGGAAACTGAGGCTAAGTGAGGTTTAAATTTCTTGCCTTCAGCCAGTAAGTGGCAAAGCTGAGATTTCAACTCATGCCATGGTTCTACACTACACTGTCCTCCTGCCTCCTGTAAAACTCAGCCCATGTGATTGAGTCTAGTCAGCCTAGTCTGGGGGTGAGGCCGACTCCACGTTCAGATTACCTTACAGCTGTGAAAATTTAGCCAAGTTATGGGATCCCTCTGACGGTTGACGATAATATTAGGGTGACAATAATATTAACACTCAGGGTTTGGTGACAGTTAAATGAGGTAGTACATACAAATCTGAGTCACCGTGCTTAAAACATAGGCACTCTCTTTACACACCCACATACGCTATTACTTTTGGCAGGTGACGATGACCATTGGAGGAACAAGTTTGTTGTTTTTCTTATCTTCTTTAATAAATTTTTAAGTCAACTAATTTTTAAATTGAGATATAATTTCTCGTTTCTTTATTAACCTATGACTTAAGGTCATTCACTCTTTTCTGAGGTTGGTTTCTGTGTTGGTTTGGTTTAGCAACAGAGAAGGATTGCTAGATGGGGCTGAGCAAATGCTGTACATGACATGCTAAGACAGACCTTTTGAAACATGACCAATATTCTACTGTTACAGTTTGTGAACTAACTGCTGGTATTTCAGCTTGAGTGCTAAGAACTTAAGTAAGAAGAGTGAATTTTCCTCAACTTTTAATATTTCCTTTTCCTTATTGCATTTTGTGGGCTTGTTAATCAGGGGCTCTCTCCACAAGTGCTGAACAAATGACCTTCTTAGAATTTGGCTTTTTTTTCTTTTTTTTTTTTTTTTTTTTTTTTTTTTTTTGAGTGAGAGAGAGAGTGAGGACAGGGACAGAGAGAGAGAGAGAGAGAGAGAGAGAGAATCCCAAGCAGGCTCCATGCCCAGTGTGGAGCCTGACATTGGGCTTGATCTCATGACCCTGAGATCATGACCTGAGCCAAAATCCAGTCAGATGCTTCACCAACTGAGCCACCCAGGGGCCCCTGGAATTTTAATTTTTAGCTGAGGGACAGAGGCTGGGCTCTTTGGGCGGCTCTTTAGTCTAATGGTGCTTCTCTGAGAAGATCCTTCTGACACTCTCCCTTTATTTCTTGTATCTTAATTCCTACTTTGTTCTCTAGCCTTCCTATTGATTTTCCAAGCTCCTAACATCTTCCAGTAAATGCCCTTTTTCTTAAGTTTTCTAGGTTCAGTTTATGTTGCTTACAACTGGTTGAATGAGTAATATCCAAACTCATAAGACATACTCACTGAATTACTAGGCTATGGCAGAGACCACTATAAAATTGTGCATTGCCAACTGGAAGGGTTTCCTTATATACAGTTTATATAAGTACTCTCCACTGTTTAGGGGAAGGGAGTGAGGAATTATTAACATTGTTTGAATATGTGGGTTCACGTAGCTAAACATACTTAATTCCAATGTACGTTCCCACAAGTAAGGGAGAGGCTAGAAAATATGACAGATGTGCCCACAGGGAAATGGTGGGTTAGAGCAAGAAATGGTGGAAGGGGGGACTGACTTTCAAACAAACTGAGCTGAGACTAAAAAATAAATTCTTTAATTTATGTTTCCTACAATTCAGTATTACATTGATCTGATATTAATACATGAAAGGGAAGCTAGAGAAAGACTTGCAGAGACAAAGATGAATAGCTCTATAATACAATAGATATGAATTACACTTAGTGTCCATGTTTTAAAAGCCAGAGATGACGACTTAGGATCCAGCAAGAAGGCTGAAATCAAGATGGTCCTAGAAGCTCCCATCCATGTATTTTTTTTTTTTCTCTTCCATTCATATTTTAGCACCATGCATGGGCTCAGATTAGGGACTTGCTTAACAGAACTTTTTGCATTTCCCCACACATTAGCCATATGCCAATAGCCAACTATAACATTTTCCTCTTATCCTTTTCTTTCTTTCTCATTGCTGAGCACAAACTTGAACTCCTTAAATAGCCATTGTGTTTATTTGGAGTGGTATGATGAAACATGTCTCAATGACTCAGTCTTCAGTATATTTCCCAGATAATCATTGGACCAAGATAGCTCCATTTCATCCTACCCTCACACATTAAGAGTTCCTCCCATCTGTCTTTTCTCTGTGCTGTCCTTCAGAAAAGAATTTTATTTGGTCATTAACATCATATTAAAATTTTACAATGGGAATTTTCCAAGTTCTTTAAGTCTTCCAGAAAAAGATGCTACAACTTCACTTACTTAGTTAACCTATTGTAGTAAGTTGTTATTAATTTTGGAAGTGTTTCACTCATGAGAGTTCTGAAAATCTTTTGGAAGAGAGATATGAATTTATACTGTGTCACTGATAAAACACAATGTGTTATAAAGTAGAATTCACTTAAAGTCTTGGATTCCATCCAGAGTGACTTGACTCCTCAAGTATAAAAAGAACTTCATTGTAAGGCAGTTACACAGCCTTAAAAACTGAAATTAGGAAGAACACACAAGGGGTGCGTGGGTGAGTCAATTGTTAAGCACATGCCTTCAGCTCAGGTCATAATCCCGGGGTCCTGGGATTGAGCCCCACATCAGGCTCTCTGCTCTGCAGGAAGCCTGCTTCTCTCTCTTCCACTCCCCCTGCGTGTGTTCCCTCTCTCACTGTGTCTCTGTGTCAAATAAATAAATGAAATCTTAAAAAAAAAAAGAATCCATGAGTAGCATTTTTAAAAAGATTTTATTTATTTATTTAAGAGAGAGCGCGCGTGAGAGAGAGAACATGAGAGGGGAGAAGGTCAGAGGGAGAAGCAGATTCCCCATGGAGCTGGGAGCCCGATCCTGGCACTCCGAGATCATGACCTGAGCCGAAGGCAGTCGCCCAACCAACTGAGCCATGCAGGCGCCCATGGGTAGCATTTTTAATGAGCTTTCCCAATATATATTTTTCTAACTTGGCCTGTTGGCAATTTTAAGGAACTAAATTCCATTATCTTATTTTTAAAAATTTGATGAAAAAAATCAATTTTAGCAGGCTAGAGATGTGTCAAGTAGAGATAAGTAAAAATAATATTGAAAAAATGTAACTAGTGAACATTTTATTGTAAAGGAAAAGTTATGACGGTAGGTGGTCACTAGAGCTTAGAAAGGAATAAAATATTAGGAAATGGCTAACTTCTTATTTGTTCATAAATTTCATTGATTACTAGTTGTATTAAATTATGAATGAATCATTACTTCATCAATGAGTACTTCTATTAATTGATATGTACTTCTACTTTCCCTAGATAGATTTCCAGCTTGTAATTTAATTCATTCCAGTGTGTGCCATTAAAAAA